GGGCTCAGTGCTCTTCAACATCTTCATCAATGATTTGGATGAGGGGAAAGATGGGGAACTCATCAAATTTGCAGACGACACCAAGCTGGCAGGAATAGCCAACACTCCAGAAGACAGGCTTAGGGTACAGGAGGATCTGGACAGACTTGAACACTGGGCACTATCTAACAAAATGAAATTCAATGGTGAAAAAAACAAGGTTCTACATTTAGGCAAGAAAAACCAAATGCATGGGTATATTATAGGGGATACCTTACTCAATAGTAATAACTGTGAGAGGGACCTCGGAGTCCTAGTGGACAATCACCTAAATATGAGCCAGCAGTGTGCTGCAGCTGCCAAAAACGCCAACACAGTGCTAGGCTGCATTAACAGAGGGATAGAAGCCACAAAGAAGAGGGAGTCAAGCTATTTTCCAAGGCCCCTGAAGGCACCTGTTCTTCGTTGTCCACCTTTGATTAGTTCCTCTCTTCGTTGGATCTTGATTCCTCTTTGAAGGACTGTCAATCTTGTTAATTGGTCACCTTGTTGGACGGAGGTCTTCGCCACTTACGAGGTTGTGACCTTCAAAAATTCTTCTCTGACCTGTCGGTAAACAGACTTTACCATATCCCAAAGGACGCTGAGCAGGGAGTTAGACTAGATGACCTCCAAGGTCCCTTCCAACTTTACTATTATTATTATTATTATTATTATTATTATTATTATTATTATTATTATTATTATTATTATTATTATTATTATTATTATTATTATTATTATTATTATTATTATTATATCAACTTTTACAAATAGAAGTGAAATATAAATTGATTAGAAAAGATGTTATAGGTAGATGCTATGATAGATAAGTAGTATAGTATTTTTATAACATGAAATATAAAAATATTGGGATGATGTATTTAAATGGAAAATTTGGATATTTAGATGTTAATTACTGAGAAAATTATGACTGATAAGAATTGTTTGAATATTAAGGAGAAATTGAGCTTAAACAAGATTTATGAAAATAAGATATATGGTGAATCAATGTTTTTTATGAAAATAACATAAGTTGATAAGAAAAAAAATACCACATATGGACACTATTATTGTTGGTATAAATATGGAAGAAATGTTTATATTTAATCATTTATATACTGAAAATATCAAATATCAAAAATTATATTTGTTTAATTTTGAAGAAGGAGAATACTATTGGGAGAAGAGAAGATCAAGGAAATATATTATTAATTAATATACTAATTATGGAAATATAAAAAATAATTATTGACTGTTAATTAACTAGTATTGATTGTTTGTTTTTCCCCCCAAAAATTGAACCAAGACAACACGCTGTACACTAAGCACTAAGGATTGTTATTGTAAAAAATCAATAAAACTTTTTTTAAAAAAAGGAAGACATGGTAATCTCTACTGAGAATGGGATAAGCAGATTAAAATTCATCCCTAGGCTATATAAACAGAAGTATGGTGTCAAGATCAAAATAAGTAACTGCTTCTTTCTATCATATATAAGTGAGACCACTTTGGACAATGTATTTTTTTGGAAACATGCCCATAGGAAAGCAACCACCAATATCAAAATCACTTTTAGTATAATTATGCAAAGCCTAGTTACTGAATAGCTAATTTATTTAGTTTTTATTTATTTATTTATTTAATTTAATTTATATGCCGCCCTTCTCCCGACAGGGACTCAGGGCGGCGCACAACATATTTAAAACCAGAACATATATACAATCCCCCCCTTAAAACCGAATTAAACCGAATTTTAATGTTGCGTCTTCCGAATATTTAAAACCCAATGTAAAATCCACCCTAGGTCAGGTCCGCTTGCTNAGAGGGTAGGGGCACCCACAGAGAAGGCCCTCCCCCTGGGGGTCGCCAGCCGACACTGCTTGGCCGACGGCACCCTGAGGAGACCCACTCTGTGGGAGCGTACCGGTCTGTGGGAAGGAATCTGCGGCAGAAGGCGGTCTCGGAGGTAGCCGGGTCCTATGCCATGGAGCGCTTTAAAGGTGGTAACTAATACCTTAAATAAAACATTCCCAAATCCTAAAATGGAGAATACTGATTCATCAGATGATATCACACTGCAAAAAAGACAAGTGCTTTCCCCTTCCAAACCATGAACTGCATCTAGGACAGGGGTCTACAAACTTAGCAACTTTAAGACTTGTGGACTTCAACCCCCAGAATTCCTCAACCAGCTATGATGGCTGAGGAATTCTGGGAGTTGAAGTCCACAAGTCTTAAAAGTGCCAAGTTTGAAGACTCCTGATCTAGGATCAGCAAAGTGATACTATAGGGCACTATAGTATAGTATAGATACTATAGGGCACCATGATGGCATCCAAGAAATCCAAACAGCTGGAACCAGTGGTGGGATTCAAATATGTGAACAACCAGTTCTCTATGTGGATGCCACTTTCGGAAGTCCATTCTGGGCCTGGGCAACAAAAAATTAACTACTGGTTCTGCTGAAGTGGTGCGAACTGGCTGAATCCCACCACTGGCTGGAACCCATAAGAGTGCAAGAGTGCAAGAATGCTGAAATCTTTATCAGACTGTGGCAAAGCATGCCGAGTCCTTGTAAAATTTCAAGATAAAAATCCTGCAATCTTGTGAGATATGACAATTATTAATTAATTTGTACACTTTAATGTTTTAAACATTTTTATTTGGCACATGCATCAAATAAAATGTGAGTCAGTGTCCAATGTCTATAAGAATGACATCTACCATACTAATATAATCTAGCAAGAAAATAAAACAAAAATGGGTTTGGGTCAGTTATATAGTATTTTCTAGATACTTTTCTAGAAAGTATTCCTTGACCCATGTCTCTTGACCTTTGAAGATTGCTTAGTAGCCTCTCTGATGAAGTAACAACAACATGCCTGATGTCAGAGCAAATGGTTCAACTGGGGACATCCTAGGTTCATTTTTGATTTCCTTCACTGAACTATTGCAAATATGTAATAAGTAAATGCACAAGGTAAGCATCTTCTCAAATGTCATCAGAGCTTTCTTTGCTCCCTGTCACGGTGAGCTCAGGCTTAGATGAGGAAACCAACAATGAACAGGGAGTTCCAGAGTTGCTGGATGAACTGCTGCCTGAGGACCTGCAGGGAGAGGAGAAGGAGCTGGAGAGTAAACATCAGCCATAGCTGCCATGGGTCTCTGAAGATGAGAAGTCTAAGTTGCCACCACTCTAGTGCAGGACTCACCATGATGAGAAAGGGGTCTTGCCCTTCCAAATGAGCAGTAAAAAGGGATGATTCTATTTATATAACAGGAGCAAAGAGCTCAAGCTTCTCCACTGACAACTGTGTATTTATCCAGATACTGTATGCCTTGATTTCTAAACTGAAATCTTGTTCACCCTGTTGACCCATGACTGTTGTGCTAGGTTTGCCACCAACCATATTGTGAAGTTCGCAGATGATACAACAGTAGTGGGCCTTATTCAGGATGACAAGGTGGAAGCTTACCGCAAGGAGGTTGAGGGGTTGATGAACTGGTGTAAGGAAAATAGCCTAGTTTTAAATACTGGAAAAAACAAAGAGATCATTGTCGATTTCAGAAAAGGCAGGCATAGCCACACTTCTCTGTACATAAATGATTCACCTGTGGAGAGGGTTACCAGCATCAAATTCCTAACGAGTAGGCTGGCTTGGTCGCTCAACAGTGAGAAACTGATGAAGTGGGCACAGCAGTGCTTGCATTTTCTGTGTCGCATGAGAAAAGCACATCTTCCTTCCCTGTTCTGACCATTTTCTACAAGAAAGCATCCTGTCATACAGCATCACAATCTGGTTTGGAAGCATCACTGCTTCAGACAGGAAGGCGGTACAGAGAGTGGTGAGGATGGCCGAAAAGATCATTGGCAGCTCCCTCCCTCCCATCCAGGACATAGCACAGAAGCGTTGCTTGAGCAGGGTCCGTAAGATTATCTGAGACACTACACATCCTCTTCACAACCTGTTTTCCTTGTTACCTTCTGGGAGGAGGCTTCGTGGTATCCGTAGCAGAACATCCAGATTCAGCCATAGTTTCATTCCATACAGCATTAACCTTGTGAACTCTCAAGCTTCCTCCTTCCATTATATGTTCAAGATGGACAATATTTAATATTTATTTGTTATGTATATGTAGGGGTGTGGGTCTATACGTATGTTGTACATAGTATGTTTAGGTGTGTGTCATGTATGTTTCACTTTGAGAGCGGGCAACTAAATTTCATTTTTGATGTGTGCCATTGTGCCCACAGTAAAAAAAAAATGACAATAAAGGTTATCTTATCTTGTCTTGTCTTGTCTTATCTCTTTGCCGCTTTTAAATTTTGTGCTTTTAAATTTTGCTTGATTGTTCTTGTGCCTACTGTTTTGGATAGGAGCTTTTAAAAAAGAGCTTGCTGAGCTTTAGACGATTTGTTTGCATTCAGTATTCTTTTGCCACTTGTTCATTTGCATCACAAAACTTATCGGTAAAGTTTGCAATCACCTCTCTGTATGCTTGTGTCTGTTTGGCTTGGGATTGAACACTACTTTTCCTCAACTGATATTATAGCAGTTTATTGCAACATAAATAAATAAGTAAGTTAGTAAGTGAGTGAGTGAGTGAGTGAGTGAGTGAGTGAGTGAGTAAGTAAGTAAGTAAGTAAGTAAGTAAGTAAGTAAGTAAGTAAGTAAGTAAGTAATAAACAGCCATAGAAGCACACCTCCAAAATTAGAATTTTGTTACACTTCAATCCTGAGATCAAATGTGGGATAACGAAATTACTTTTTAAAAAAAAAAATCTCTGCTGTGCAGAGCTAGATTCCAAACTGTTTCACTTCTGTTGTCTTTTCTAAAGATTCTGGAAATTCCAGTATTACCTTTAAAAAAAGCACAAACTAAGTAAGAAATTAGACTTGATGTCCTGAATTATCTCTAATTCTGTGGTTTAATGGAAAAAGGAGAGGATCCAAGAAGGTTTTTTTCCACAAATTTACCTTGCAAGAGCTGGTGTAGCCATACTGCTTTGTACCCCAATAGCTAGGGGAATAGCTCCACAGCGAATATGTCCAAATTCTTCTGCCACTGCAGCATTGTAGGAGAAATCCAAATTTAGGCCGCCGTATTCTGAATATAAGAAAACACATTACCATTACAAAACTGATGTAAAGTTATGAATTCTAGAGTCATTATATGACTCTTTTGCATAACGTAGCAAGTCCATTTTAACGAATTACCTTGATGAATTACTGCTATCACCTATGGAATTAAATATGGTAGCACAATAGATCTTTCAGAGAACGGTCAAGGCATAGTGAAGACATTTTGCCAATGAAGAACATTGCTTGAATTAATCATACTTCTTAATCAGATCAATGCCTAAATGTGACCTGGATACCTGGATTGTTACTTCAACACTGGTGAGAGGATGGAATCCTCCATTTCTTCTAATAATCTAGTTTGGGAGATGCTGGATAGCATTGAAAGAATATTTAGCTTGATCTTCCAATATAGGAGAAAATTTGGGAGGAAAGAAGAGAATAGCTAGATATGCTGCCGGTACTTCCCACACTATACCACCCTACTGTCTAAGACAGTGATGGCGAACCTTTTAGAGACCGAGTGCCCAAACTGAAACCCAAAGCCCACTTCTGCATTGTCGGGTGCCGGATGGGTGTGGCCATTGGGTGGGCGTGGCTGTGATGGGAACGGCAGACTGGATGGGACTAAAAAGTTCAATCAATTCCAACTTTTCAAGATCTTTTTTTTTCCCGCAAGAAGTTGAAATTGACTGATTGATTGAACCTTTTTTTTTTTTTGCACACAGCGGCAGAGGCCTAAAGCGAAAAGGTTTTATAAAACCCAGCCTAGGACTGGGGCAATGGCACACGTGCCCACAGAGAGAGCTCTGAGTGCCACCTCTGGCATTCGTGCCATAGGTTCGCCACCACTGGTCTAAGACAATTACCTCATTATAATTCCTGTCCTTGGGGGATGTGAACAACTTAGCTTTGACTGGAATATGAAGTTATCATTCTATCTGCTTATTAAGAGCTTGACTGACAGTCCCAGAGCAATAATGTGGGGTGTTCAACTATTAAAAGTTTGATTAATTATCAGGCCTTGAAGACAATATCAAACAAATGGAGATAGAGCCAAAATAAAAATAATAAAAATGGCCATAAAAATCGTCATTTGATTTCCATTCTCAAAATCTGCATTACAGTTTGGATTAATTAATTGTATCTGTGGCTGGGGGTATCCAACTATACCTAGAATTCTTTTGAGCTTTCTGGAGCCTTTAAACCAGAGGTGGGATATGATGACCCTTTTATGACTTTAGACTTCAACTCCCAGAATATTGGCTCAAGAATTCTGGGAGTTGAAGTCCATCAGTCATAAAGAGGCCATCATTCCTTACCTCTGCTTTAAACAATGAGATTTTGGGTGACTCAGAAGATATCCTTACTGAGCTGCAACAAGCTCCAGGATATCTTCCTGGAGATTCATGCAGCCTCTATCCTTATAACATTCTGAAAGAGTTGTGTATCCCTTTTAGTTAGTTTAGTTTTGTCCTAGGTTCTGGCAAGCTATATTCTTCTTTTTATACAGTTTGCTTCCTTGCATATTTATTTGTAAGCCACCCAGACTATTGAAGAATCAGGCAGCCTTGAAATATTGATGAATAAAGAAAATTTTAAAAAATAAAATAAAATATAAGTTACAAGCAGAAGCTATCAGACAGTAAGCACTCATGTCCTTACTTATAAACTAATGAATTTTGTTTACATAACTTTGGATAAAACAAATTTTATTGCCTACTGCAGGACAGATAGACACAAGATCAGACAGATGGACAGACACACATTCACATAGAGCATGTACAAAACAAAATAGAAACTCTCTCTCTCTCTCTCTCTCTCTCTCTCTCTCTCTCTCTCTCTCTCTCTCTCTCTCTGTGTGTGTGTGTGTGTGTGTGTGTGTGTGTGTGTGTGTGCAGGGGTGGTATATAATAAAATGGACAAAATAAATAATCTTACAAAATAGAATAAAAATAAAAAAAATCTTGCAGAATAGATATTTTTTATTTAGTAAATGCGCTCCAGCAGGAATGGAATTCAATGTACAAAACTAGTAAGAGGAAGTAACATTGGGTTCACGCTTTAATTTGTGCAAGGAAGTTAGGAAGGACAGCCTGATACTTTTGTTCCTTCTTCCAACTAAATGTGCTTTTTCTAAACTCACTATAGTTTTGCCATGGTCTTCTTGATCATTAAAAAATATTATTTTTAAGATAGCTTGATAAACTCATTTCTTCACATCATACTCCCAGAAAAACAAACATATACTTAGAAAGAACAGATCTGAAGGAAACTACAGAGTTCATCTGTCTTTCTCTTGGCTTGCCTACCTTACACAAAATTCCTGGCAGTAGAAAAAATGGCTGTTTTTGAAAAAGGAACAATGTATATATGCTGGCTTAGTTTTGTTTGGAAGAATGGATGCTGAGTCAAACAAATCTCCCTAACTTTTTATTGAAAAGGTTAGAGATAAAATGTAAGGAAAGAGAAACGGGAAGCCAGAATATAAGAAGTTCATTGAAATGTATTGCAAAAGAATCTATAATCTGCTTTTTAATTGTATGTTATATTTCCAAAATGGGTGTACAATAAAAAGAGTTAAAAATAGCAAAGAAATGTCAAAGTACAACAAAGTTTAAGAGTAATAACCGTCTCTCTCCCACCCCCCCACCCCTATCATGACCATAATGACTCATGACCTACCAGTCATAAAGTGGGACATCACATGAGTGACCCAATTTTATGAGTTTTGCAGTGGTTGTTAAATGAAAGCTGTGATTGTTAAGTGAGCACAGTACTAAGTGAACCCCACTGTCACTAACAGTAGGGTTCTCTCTAAGGCATTTTTGCTGAAAACCAGATTTTTGGCAAAAACATCCTAATGAGCATAAATGTGGGCTGGCTGCCAAGTGCCCAAAATGTGGTTATATGATTGCGTGAAAGGGCGTATCTTAATAGTTTTGGGGGTATTTAATCTCAAACAGCTGCTATGTGAGTGCTTGTAAGTCAAGGACTACGTTAATGAGTGCCAATATAACTAAGCTTATAAATACATATTGTGTGTGTGTATGTGTTTGTGCAGTTTGTGCCCTCGTGTTTGTGTCTGTGTGTATTTGTGTCCAAATGTGGATGAAATATTAAATAATATTTTCAATGTCACGTCACCAACAGATTGCAGTACTGATATGCTAGAAGCTGTGATGCGTTCTTGAGCATCTGTTCTTTCATTTCAGCTAGTAGGAAGTTACTGTGAGAAAAGATTGTATTGCTGTTCATGAATGGAAGCCTGCATTCAGTACGTGGAAGGACACTTTAAGCACATAATTATTGAATTTTTGCTTGTCAAAGGAGTTTCTACAACTGAACTTCCTCTCATTCAGCCTGAATGCAGGTTGCTTATGGTTACGATTGTATTGACATGAGCACTGTGCACGGCTAGGCCAACAAATGTAAAGATGGTAAGCTGAGAATAGTTTAATTGAGTAATCAAGAATGAAATGAATGAAGTGGGACAGCAGCTTTAAGTTTCACATGAGAAAGGTCGATAAATTGACTTCCGGTTCCAGATTGCGGCGTCTGCAGCCGCACACAGAGACTGCTCTCTTCGCCAGCTGCTTTCTCTCTGCTGGTAGACCCTTAATCAGGTCGAAAAGTCACCCTGGAGGGGTGACTACCATTGAGGATGCCCTTGTCGACTGTGGAAGGGTGGTAGCTCCTTCTGTGGTCCGAGAATGCTCCTTAGGGCCGACGGAGGAAAGATCGGCCAGCAAAATGGCCGATCACTTTGCTGCTGTAACCAGAATTCAGAAGAACATCTAAGTGCAAGAACCACCGTGGTTGATCCGGGTGAGATTTTTTTTCCTCTCTTAGTCCTCTTTTCTTTTTTGCTTCCTGTAAAAAGCATTTTTGGAACTATTTCCCTGCTTTAAGAAAGCGGCGTTTGTGAGTGTCGGAAAAGAAGATTACATGGACTGAAAATTAACTTTAATTGACTATTCTTTACTTTTCCATCTACTTTGGGGTCTTGAAAAAATTTCTATTATTGAACTTATTACTGGATTTAGTTTACATGTGAAGAATTTTTTTTTCTTTTTCTGATCTTGTTAACGTTATTTTTGGTGTCTGAGAAGAGATTTCACAGTCTACTGAGGACACCTTGTGGAGAAAGTTAAAATTGCAACTCTTTTTTCCGTTTGATGTTGAGACTGGCTTGACCTTCAGATCATCATAAAAGGGAAAAGACAAAAGAAATCCAACAGCTGTATTTGTGGGGGTGGACACTGGTTAAATGTTTTTTGAATACAGCCTCCACTAAAAGATAACAGGACTGTTTCTAATCACTATCGGAATGGAGAAATCCTATTCACAACTTGACTGTAAACTTATATTGGAAAAAATTTATGAAGCCACTGAGCAAATACGTCTACAAATAAAAGAGTACTACAGAAATAAAAAACAGAAATTTTACCTTGAACCTACAAACTGACCTCCAGATCTTATCTGAACATTCTACAGACCAAAAAACAACAGAAGCGGAACCAATAAACATTAAAAAAGATTCTACTTCATTTCATACACAACCTAATGAGATTTCTGATGAACAAAAAATGACTGTAATTAAATTACTTACAATCTTAAAACCAACAGAAATGGATATACAAATACAGCTAATTGAGAACCATGATAACTTGGATAATCATCTACTAATTACAAAATTGGATATAATTGAGTGTTCTATTCAACAGATCCAAATGTCGAGATTTGAATCTCTAAAACAACAAGGGACTATCTACAAAAGAGTCAGGTCTCCAAAACAGAGGAGAGGACGCTATTTCTTGACCCAAATGATACTACAAGGCACAAAGAGAGACTTATTTGTTGATATTGAGGCTCTGTTATGGAAACCTACTTGGCATAAAAAGAAAGCTAGAATAAGATTTAAGAGTGTGATCCAAAACTCTACATAACGGGTTTAAAAGGCTTTCTAGGTACGGATTGATTCATGGTTTAAGGTGGGTGAATAAGACGTTAGATTGAATAAAGATT